CTGAGTAATTCACACTGTTGTGGCTGGCGGACTTTGGGATTTTGGGGTTCAGTCTGGGGAGATTCTTGCTAGAGGTTGTAGCTAATAAACATAACTGGACTGAATTTGCACTGTCTCTTGGAGTTCCTTGGGCTAGGCCTAACATGAACACAGGAATTCATTATGAAACAAAAAAGTGCTAAAAATGCTATTGGATCTGTTTTTCTTTAGCATTTGCTTGGCACAGGGGATGTGGCTGGACACTGGAATGGGCAGGGCTGAAATTTTTCAGACTATATAAAAATTATTTGGGAATTAGAGTATTTAAAGGAGTAAAATTATGCCTTTTTGGGTCTTAAATCTCATAGAACGTGAGAAAAATGCCGCGATTCAGGGAAGGGTTTAAGGTTTTTGAGGGGAACAAACTGGGGGCTATAGGCAGGGATGCTAACATCAAATCAAATCAAATCAAATCAAATCAAATCTTTATTATGGTCATAGACCAGCATAAAGAGGGTGGAGTAGTCAATTAAAAAGCACAGAAGATACATCAGAGTCTAAAAAAAATGAAAAACTAGAAGATATTAATACAGAAAGTATATGTAAATCTAAATCTAAAATCTAAAATCTAAATCTAAATCTAAAAGAATCTAAATCTAAATCTAAAAGAAGGGGTAGGAGCATTAGATGGGTGTAGGGAAGCATAAAAGGTTAGTACGTAGAAGACTATGTCTATCAAATTACAGAGCACTCTAATGTGGTGAACTAGGTGCTCATTAAGTCTAGTTTATGGCACAGGTCATCATCCAAGGAATTTTGAGCTCAGCTGCACAGAACCTGGCAACCTTGTATATTGTAGCAGGGTTGGTATCTGAAAGCAGCAGGAAGGTGTAGAATTGTCCTTTGTGCCCTGGGTACTTATAATGGTAATGGTGAGATGAGGCTAGTACAAATGTCTCTGTAGTACAGGTGCTGGAGAAGCACATGTTCTGTTGTTTCTGGGTCTTCAGAATCACAGGGGCATTGTCTCTCCAGGTAAGGAATCTTCCTGTATGGGCCTTCAAAGACAGCTAAGCAGAGGGCATGACACTGTGCTAGAGTAAAGGCCCTCCGGTGTTTAGGGACTTTAAATTTAGTTAGGTATGCTATAGAGGAGGCAGAGTACCTGTTGAGTTCACTGGCATTAAAGGTTAGGGTCTTGGCTAGATCCAGTTGGTGCTCTGTGTCTGCTACATGCTGTTTAATGAGTGCTTTGGCCTGATCATATCCCATGCTGAATAGAAGGCCTGGAGAGAAGCCAAGGGATGTGATTTTAGTTGCCACTGCCCATTTCCATGTGGATTGAAAATCATCACTCACAATTAATGGGGCAAGGCCAAGGGGGAAAAAAGGATAGTCTGAGCTAATAGGTGAGTATGATTACCACACTCTAGCGTCCACATTCATGAAGCCTAGTCACTGGGTAGCATTAGAGACACAATTTGGGACTTGAAGGGCTGATCTTAGAAATTTGGATAGTACAAGTTCTAATGGTGCAGAATTGGAGAAGGGGCCCAGCTGGGCACCATAAAGAAGTTGTGCTATTGGCTTGGCTTCAAATAATTTGAGTGCTGTAGGTATATTTATTTACTTATATTTATATAGCCACCCATCTCACACAAGGTGACTCTGAACGGCATACAACAATTAAAAAATAAATACATAAAAACAATTACACATAAAAAACTGTAAAAAACACACAAAACAGGAGGCGATAAAATTAATAAGGGAGCCATAGTAAAATCTCCCCGGACCCCTTGGAGCCCCAGGCCTGATCACATAGCCAAGTCTTGAGAGACTTATGGAATGTTAAGAGGGATGGAGCTAATCTCACTTCCAGGGGGAGAAGATTCCACA